CGGTGCAGGGTAGCAGGAAACTCTCCGCACACTCACCGGACCTGGGCTAGGACTGGGTCTGGGGGCTCCCGAAACTCGTCAGAAAATCGTACTCGGCGGGCGGGGTGGAGGAGCCACTGCGGAGTGGTGGGGGGCAGCCCGAGGGGCTGGGAGAGGGTCCGGCCCACGCTGCGCCTGGGCTGGGACTTGAACCTACCTTTATTAATAGTTTTCAAGTATAATTTTCAAAAAGAAAAAAATATGACTTTTATATAAATATGGAATGAGCAAATGTCAACTTACAGGGAACAGCAAAGGTGTTAAAAATGATTCCAAGAGTATTTGAGAGACTGGTTTTATATTTGTTCTCGATATACTATTTAATAAAGAAATACTAGAATATGATTTGTAAGGTCAATACAGGGCAACAAACCATAACTTCACATTTTATGTGTTCCATTCGTCAGACCTAACAAATACAATATGATGCAGCAGCTTAGTATTTCTAGCACAAAGCTCTCACCCTGACAAAAACCAGGTTATAAGAATTGCTGACATTTGCAAATTTAATATTGAACCAAATATTGAAGAGGTACAGCATTATTGCTGAATTTCCCAATGCTCCAATTTTCTTATAGTCAATCCATCATTTTTATGACTCTGGAATCTAAGGAAGGACTAAACAATATTTTTTTGCAGTCCATGAAGAAATATAAGTTGAAGCATTTTTAATTTATCAGCATTTCTGCCTGTGACTAAACTCATACTTGAGGCATATGTGCTCCTCTTTCTTGAGTCATATACCAAGATGCCAGAAAATAGCACAATGTCCATAAAGAGAAGGCTTAATCAAATCTCCTTTACTAGGATTCAATATTGAACTGCCAATAGTACAGAAAATCCAACGATGAGTTACCATTCAGTCAAACTGGCAAGAAACTAAGTCTCACTTAATGTTAATATCCTGCCTCCTCTCTTAGAATCAAACTAGAACCTAGGTCACTTTTGCTTACCCGGGAAATGGAGAAAATTTTGAATGTTTACTCCTCTCTTCATGGAAATTTGTGATTTGCTACAGCTATTTCCTTCCAATCACTGGGGAAGCCCCTGGGAGTTGGTCAAGGGTCATCACCTGTCATAGAACCCTAAAGTCTATGTTTTTTCCCAAGACTTTGGAAGTATTTGTTTCTCTCCGTGTCCTCAAATACAAGTTACTTCTTACCTTCAATCTCTTCAAAAACTAAAGCAGGACTGCAAGTAATCTATAAGTAACTTCTGCTTTCTGCCTGTTAACACCAACCTCCTCTAAAACTAATACAAAGGGTTTATCTTTGTATTAGTCACCATCAGATTTTCTATGAAAACTGTGTCTAATGAGCTGTCTGTCAAAAATTAGTAAGAACCAGCAAGATGGCTTGGCAGACTAAGCACCTGCTTTGGCAAGTGCAGGGACCGAGGTTCAATCCCTGGTCCCCGGTGCCACAGTGGGGAGGCTGAACACAGGAGGATTACTACAAGTCTGAGCTGCATAGTGAGACCCTGGACCAAAATATATAAGTAGAAAAAAAATAGCAATTGTAACCCATTGTAATGCTTTGTTTTTTTATATTTATCTAAATATATACAGAAAATATGTAAACTTAAGTTTATTTCAGGAGCCAGGGAGATAGCTTAG